CCTGGGCCCGATGGCTGGGCACCAAGGTGAGATCCCCAGTGGGACACACTCACACAGGCCACTGGGATGGTCAGGTGACAAATGCGAGCCAAGGAGGAGCTGACCTTTGCACCGGGCGCTGGGCGAGGACGCCCCGCTTGCTGCTGGGGCTGGCCGGGAGCGCAGCTCAGGGGCCACTTAAGGAGTCAAGAAAACGTCACCTCCATGGGCTGTGCCTGTGCGCCTGGTCCCAGCTCCTCCGAGGAAAGGCTGGTGCCCTCTCTGGGCACTGTGACATGGAGGCCCTGGGGCACACTGCCCTGGGTAGGTGTGTGTGGGGGCACAGGGACCTGCAGAGCGCCCAGTCCCAACCCTGCCAGCCATGGCTCCTTTTCAGCTGCAGTTCCTCAGGGACCACTGGCTCCCGGGCAGTTCTGGAGGAGACGGACTTCTGACTATCAGAAGCTGCAAATGGGAGTTTGGAAGGGCAGCGGGTATGAGGCATCCTCCAGTCCTCCATTAATGCGAGTCCGAGTAATCAAACTCAGCCGTGTAACCAGAAATTTGAATTCCTAGCCGCCACAGAGCCACAGGATTTAATGCTCCCTCACCACCACCCGGTGCCCCCAGATCTCTGAGCATGTTTCCAAAACTGTCTCCAGCTCTGCGATTGATTGTGTAATTGCAGTTCAAAAATTAAATGTAAGCCGAAAAAATTAAATGGTTTGGCTCAGTGGAGAGAGCATGGGCCTGAGGACTGAAGGGTCCCAGGTTGAGTTCCTGTCAAGGGCATGTGCCTTGGTGGGGGGCACATCCCAGTGTGTGCAGGAGGCAGCTGATCGATGTTTCTCTCTCATCGATGTTTCTAGCTCTGTCCCTCTCCCTTCCTCTCTGTGGAAAATCAATAAAATATATTTTAAAAAATTAAATGTAATACAATTCTGTACTTAATGTTTTACTTAAATTGGGGTAACTGTTGAGGTTACTTAATAGTGTAGGAGCTTCACGCGCATTACCTCATCCATCCGCAGCACCGTGTTCAGGGCAGGAATAAATGGTTAGTCCTACTTTAAAGTAGGTGAAGAAACTGAGGCTTTGAGAGGTGTCAGGAACCCACGCAGGCAAAGTCTCAGGGCTAACACGGGTTGCAGGCAATACAAAGTCTCCTGGAGTCCAAGGCGCTTTCTGTGTCCAAGCAGCACCCAGGACCTGCCTGTCCTCAGCCTGAGACGGGCAGGGGATGGGGGGAGGGGAGGTGGGAGGAGAAGTGTTAATGGGTTGCTTCATTCCAGCCTCTTTGGTGGCTTTGCCTGTCAACCTGCCCTAAAGCGGGGGTGGGGAGGAGGTGGGGGAATGGTGGGGGGGAGGGTTGGAGGTCCTCAGAATTCAGTCCTCAGCCTGGGAGTCCCAGCCTGACAGCACCTCTCTGTCGGGCACCGCCCGTTTTTTTATAGCGCTGTATTGATTTGCAAAGACAATAAATCTAAGGAAGGGACACAGTGCCCTATAATGAGGTTGTAGTATATACATTTTCCCTTCGGTGATTTCAACGCCAGCAAGATGCATAGCTTGTTAGGCGGCCCCCAACGGCCCCCCTCAGCGCCCGGATTTGCTGAAAGGGGCCTTTTCCATCCGGGCTTGCTGGCTGCCTCCCGCCTCAGTGCCCACTGAGCCCTTTTCTCCTTTTACCTGTGAGTGGACCACAGCCCCTTTCCTGCTCAGGAGACCCAGAGCAGCCAGGGCTGGGTCCGCTTCCCCCTCTCGACCGGCCAGTTATTCTACAAATGCCTTCCTTCTCATGATAATATTCAAACCCCTGTCTGACCCATTAAGACAACTAAGAAAAAAAAAGACGGCATTCCCTGTGTGTAGAAAAAGCAATGGCCAGTTTTTTTAAAGGTAAAAAAAAAAAGCTTTTGAAAACGAATACCAACAGAACACATATTAAATTCTACACTAATCCTGACATCAACCCCCTTAAAAAATAACAACAGCCAAAAGCGGTTTGGCTCAGTGGATAGAGATCGGCCTGCGGACTGAGAGGTCCCAGGTTCGATTCCGGTCAAAGGCATGTACCTTGGTTCCCGGCACATCCCTGGTGGGGGTTGTGCAGGAGGCAGCTGGTCAATGATTCTCTCTCATCGATGTCTCTAGCTCTCTATCCCTCTCCATTCCTCCTGTAAGAAATCAATAATATATATATATTTAAAAAACAAAACAAAAACAAAACAAAACAAAACAAAAAAAACACCCAGGCACACACTCACCACCACCACCACCACCACCACCACCACCACCAAACTCTCAACCTAGATCTTCCTTCCTGGTCAAACTCAAAGCATTGGAGGCAGGAAAGGAGCCAGCATTTGAAAGAGGGAAGTGTCGCTCTGGAATTGATATGGGTGTGTGTGTGTGTGGGGGGAGACTTTAATAGCGGAAGGGTTTGGTTGGGTCTGGGTGTCCCCACAGCAATGAGCAAAGGCTCAAGAATGGAAGCTGATCGTTAGGCGCCGATTGGCTTCCTCTATCTCTCACTCTCTCACCGCGGTTTCGCCAGAAAGCCTCTGCCCCGGGCCGCCGCGTTAGCCCTGCTGTCCACCCGCAGAACAGCGGGGCGGGGGTCCGGATTGGGACCGGGGCCTGGAATGAGGCCTCGGGCTCCTGCTGAGCCCACTGCACCGGGGACACGCCCTCCACCTAGTCAGACCCGGCCTTTCTCTCCCAACTTGGGGGGTGAGGGGGAGAGAGAAGAGAAGAGAAGAGAAAGAAGAGAAGAGAAAGAAGAGAAGAGAAGAGAAGAGAAGAGAAGAGAAGAGAAGAGAAGAGAAGAGAAGAGAAGAGAAGAGAAGAGAGAAGAGAGAAGAGAGAAGAGAGAAGAGAGAAGAGAGAAGAGAGAAGAGAGAAGAGAGAAGAGAGAAGAGAGAAGAGAAGAGAAGAGAGAAGAGAAGAGAAGAGAAGAGAAGAGAAGAGAAGAGAAGAGAAGAGAAGAGAAGAGAAGAGAAGAGAAGAGAGAATGAAAGGCGCGGCGCCCCTCCCAGCACAGAAAGGCCATGGTTTTGATAACTGCCCCAGCACGTTCGCGTGCACACACACACTTTGCACACGGAGGCCGGGGGCCGTGTCTGCGCCCCTCCGGGCGGCACCTGGTCCGAAAGGACGGACACGCGGGGACAGGACAGGCGGACCCGCGCCTCTCCCAGCTCCCAGCTGGCGTCCTTAACTCCCCAAATGCCCCCGCTCTGCCTTTGCCTGCTCCCCGCGGGTTTGTTCCAGGAGCCCTGGCGGGGACGCGGCGAGGACAGTGGGAGGCCGGTGGGAAACGGGTGTTCTGTTTTCCGTTAACTCCCGCCCAGAGGCTCTCCTCGCCAGGCGGAGCGGCCGGGACGGAGCGCCGATGTTTACACGTGTGTGTCCGCCCCGGGCCCCCGGCTCCGCTCCGGGGTCCGCGGATTACCCTGCGAATCCGGAGAATTTGAGTTATTTAAGCTGAACGAGGCCAACACGACGGCCCCCCTCCCATTCCCACCTCCACCCCCATCCCCGCAAGGCCGTGGGAAGTCCGGGTCGCCGCCGAGTCTGCGAGGGCAGAGGCCCCGCGCCAGCCAGGCCCGCGCCGGGGCCCGCACTTCCCGCCGCGCCCCGCACAGCCCGCCCCGCCGGCCCGGAGGCGGAAGCCCATCTTCCCGGGTCCCCAGCAGAACGGGAGCCCGGGGAGTGGGGGGACAGGCATCCCGCTGGACAGTACGGACCCCGGCGAGGACGCCATCCTGTGCGCAAGATCCCGGCACCCGCTTAGCGCGCCTCTGGCTGGGGTGCGCCTCCACGCCCCCCCCCCCCCCAGTCAGGCCGCCGGATGCTGGAGACCCCCAGTCTGCCCAGTCCGCCCAGTCCCGGGACACGGCCCTGGGGCGACCGCGAGAATGGGGCTGGCCCGTGGCGCCGCCCTCCTCTCCCCTGAGCGTTTCCCAACGCCCTTTGGGAACTCTGAACGCCGGGGAGACCCGTCTCTGCCCCGTGGACGCGGCCAGAACCCCCTCCGGTCGGGGTGCACGGTGCGCCGCTCCCGGGAGCTCGGGCTGTAGGTCCCGAACACAAGCCCTCGCGACAGCGCGCACCTCCTCTCGCCCCATCAGCTGGGGGTGGCTCCCCTCTCCCCACAGGGTGCCAGCTCGGCGGGGGCGCAGCGCCCCGGGCGCCCTCCCCCTCCCCCGCCCCGCCCCGCCCCCGGCGCGGACAGGAAGCGGGCGGTGACGTGGGGCGGCGCTGAGTGGCTGCGGCCGCGGGGTCGACGCCGCCGGCACATTAAGGCGCGCGGCGGCGGGCTCCCCGGCGCAGTGTCCTGGGGGCCGGCTGCGCGGCGATCCGGCTCCCCGCTGTCCGCCCCCGCGCTGTCCGCCCTCGCTGGGCTCCCTGCCGCTGGGCCCCTCGGCTGTCCCCCGCGGGGAGAGGAGGAAGGACGCGGAGGGGGTGCTGCGGGACCCCGGGCTGTGCGCAGCGGGTGCCCGTCCCCAGCGGCCAGGGCGCAGCCTGCGGTCCTGCCGCGCGCTGGTGCCTGCGCGAGTCCATCCCCGTCCCCGGCTGCTTCGGAGGCGCCTGTGCCTCTGAGTCCATCCCCGTCCCCGCTGCTCCGGAGGCGCCTGTGCCTGCGAGCCCATCCCCGTCCCCGGCTGCTCCGGAGGCGCCGGTGCCTGAGAGCCCATCCTCGTCCCCGGCTGCTCCGAAGGCGCCTGTGCCTGCGAGCCCACCCCTGTCCCCGGCTGCTCCGGAGGCGACGGTGCCTGCGAGCCCATCCCCGTCCCCGGCTGCTCCTGAGGCGCCGCGGCTCCAGCGCTCCGCGGCGGGGAGCGGGGAGGCCAGAGCGGCGCTCTCGGGGGTCGGGACGCGCTCCCCCGGAATCCCCGGCCGCGCGGTGTGGTTGCGCTCGGACACTCTGCGCCGCGTTTGGGTCCCTGTCTCCCTCGGGGAAACTGGACAGCGCGTCGGCCAGCCCTGTCCCTGGGCAGGAGCGCGTCCCGGGGGCCATGGAGTTCACGGCGTCGCCCAAGCCCCAGCTCTCCTCGCGGGCCAACGCCTTCTCCATCGCGGCGCTCATGTCCAGCGGCGGCCCCAAGGAAAAGGAGGCGGCGGAGAACACTATCAAACCGCTGGGTGAGTGGCTGCCTGGACGGCCGCGGGGGACAGAGGCGGGGAGCTGCCCCTGTCCCGGGGCCGCGGGGGCTCCGGAGGGCTGGTGGCCGCCTGTCCGGGCTCGTGCGCGCGGCAGCCTCTGACTCTCTGGCCATGGCCATAGTCGGGGCTGGGAGTTTTTTTCCTTTAAGGCCCAGAGATTTTTTTATTTGGGAGCTTCCGATTCTTAAATACAAGTGGTTTCCTATCTCGTTCAAGCGGTAGGCGCTCCCCATCTTTGCCTAGAATCCCAGGAGGGGTGGGTGTGAGTGCATAGCTCTGCTGGGATAAGGACATAGAAGGATATACAGTAATAAAACCCATTTTTTAAAGACGCAACAGGATTGACGATGGGGGTAACACCTGTTTGTGCAGTTGAACCCAAGGAGACTGCAGGAGACTTCACAAGAAACTGGTTTAATTTTGTTTTAGACTAAATCAAACGGGGTCAGTTCTTTTAAAACCGCAGTCCAGGGCTGTAGGAGAAGCCGGTTCTACCCGCGCGAGCCGATTTCTTCTCAGAAGTTCTGGACTTACCCATAAGACATCATTTTCTAAGTGCCCTCGTTTCAGGAGAGGTTGGCAAAAAACGTTAGCCAGTAACCATTTCCCAAATTCCTCAACTTTTAGCGATAGTGTTTATGTAACAACCTTTACCATTTATAGAAGACTCTAGGCTGGAGGAAAGGGATTATGGTCCCCTTAGCACAAGCGAATTAAGTGGTTTCACTGTCCCTTCACAATGGAGAAAGAAGCATTCTCATTGTCACTTCTGGGGGCCCCAGGAAATAATCATTTCATATCCTGGCCAGCTGGTAGCCCTAAAACAGTGAAAAACATCTGATAGCAAAACAGGGTATTATTCCTTTTTAACTCTCCTAATTTTTTCCTTCCTCCCTCTGCTCACCCCCATTTTTCCCAACAACTTAACATCTCACATCCAAAACAGCAACAATATATGAAAGACAAAGCCCTAGAGATGGAAAACAAGGGGCCTGGGCAGAAAAAAAAGAGAGAACGAAAACCCCTGTAGCCACTCAGAACCAAGGACCAAGAAACCGAAGGACCCCAGAAAACATAACGTCAAAAAGTCTCTCCTCCATGAAGCCAGCTTATTTCCCAGGCTGCTGTCTGTCTGTCCTTCTGGGAGGAATCTTAACCTGAAACAGTCTTTTCCTGCTGGTTCTCCCTTTTCCCTGGCTTTCCCCACCCACCCTCCCATCTAAACCCAAACCTGCCAACAGAATGGAAACAAGCAATCAAACAACCCCAGGGCGGGCAGGGGGAAATATTAATCACCAATTCCAAAGTTGTGATTGTGGGACGTGCCTAGGGTACCCACTCCTGTTTGGGGGCTCCCGGATTCTTTCTATATGCCCCCTCACAGTTTGGTAGCCAGCGGGAAACGACCATTTCAGATTAAAATTCCTCCCAGAAGGACAGACAGTGCCACTGCCCTTTCACCATTGCCTCCGTGTCTATTTATTTTCCTGAGAAAAAACACCCGATCTACATTCTAAATGATGGAGCCCTCACCACATACCCTTCTGTGGCTAAGCATCCCCTGGAGGAGCCAGGAGTCATTCTGGCCCCTTTTAGCGGTCAGTGCCATTGGTGACTGTAAGCCATGGACTCCGGGCCAGAGAAAGATGGAGTTCCGTTAAGAGAGAACATGGTATGAAACCTTACTGAGCTGTTGAAGCCAGGGCGGAGGCCAGAGTGGCTCCTGCCTGCCCGTTTAAACCCTGTGAGTCTGTTTAGAAGCACAGCCCCAGACTTTCCCTTAGGAAAACTTTTCTTTGAGACATAATTGATGTTGGACATTGTGCGAAAGCATTTCCGTGTCATTTTCTTCTTCCTCTGCTTCCCCCACTTCCCAGCCCTGACGCGCTGGAGAGTCCACGGCTCGGAGTTTGCATTTCTCAATGGTCAGGAAATGAGAAAATTCCCAAGGCTCCTTCCTCATTCCCTGGGAAGACCTTCCGCGAGCGAGCTTCTGAACATATTCTCAGAAGATAAAATTTCCCCCAGAGCATGGGTCTCTTGTTTTTCCGTTTGAAAATATAGGGATAAGATAAATAATTGGACGGTTTTTAATTTAAAACCTTTTTAGGAGCTGGATTTTTACTGTAAAAGAAGGAAAGATAAACATGCTCTATTCACTAAGTCAAGGAGAAATACAGACAACAAAACGCTTTCTACGACACATCTATGATGTGCATGCCTACAGTTAGAACTGGTTCCAGTTCCTGGGGGGCACTTAGAATAGAGCTGTTTGGAGGTCAGTTTCACATCGCAGATTCAAGTAGTTTCTTTTTTAAGGGCTGCAAGATAATTGGGATAATTACAAAAGTCCCCCTGTACTCCATCAAAGTGACTGGTGGAGTCCCGGGCCCTTATCAGCTGTGGGGGGAGATGTTTGGTTCCTGGGAGTGGTATTCTGGCCGCCTCCTGGTGGATGGGGAAGCCTCCTTCCTACTTTGACATGCCTGCTAGCCTGGGGTTCGGAGTGGTTTCCCCAATCCTAGCGCGTTTTTGTCCAGAAATGGCCCCAGAGCGTGCACTCCTGTGATTTAACAAGCCCAATGCTGGTCTTTCATAAGATCACGGGCTCTAATCTAACCTCCTAAGGCCCATGAAGTGAGAGGCAGGCAGGGAAGTGAAATGGCCTCATTTTTTTTTATTTTTAACCGCCTCTCCGCTTGCACCCCTGTTTCCTTTTTCTGTGTAGAGGGGGCTCCAAGAGGAGAGAAGTTCCCTCAGCCAGAGGAAGGGCCCATCCCTTCACGCTCTGGCTCTCCCTGCACAGAAGTCTCTCTCCGGTTGTCAAAGGGGCAGCGCTGGCACCAGCTCCCACAGGCCCTGTCGTCTAGGACTTGGGAGGGATGCACACAGGAATCCTTGCTTTTTACACATCATGATCACTGCCTTTCTGGCCCTCACTCGTCTGTTCTCCAGTGTGGGCTTCAGTCGTGGTAACAAGCCCTGCCTCTGGAACGCACTCGTACTTGTCATTTGGTTCCATAAGCCACGGGTGCCAGCTCCTGGGAAGCACAGGCTTGATTTATAGACCAGTGGGTTCTTAGCAGCTACCTTCCTGGAGTTTCTGAGCCTCACTTTTTCAAGGTCCAATCTGGGCCCCCTTTCAGCTCTCTGTCCTGTCCTGCATGTTCACTCCCAGCATTACCAGCTCTCTGTCCTGTCCTGCATGTTCACTCCCAGCATTACCAGCATTAGCCGTCCGGTCCCCTCTCTTGCAGAACAATTTGTGGAGAAGTCATCCTGTGCCCAGCCCCTGGGTGAGCTCACCAGCCTGGATGCCCACGGGGAGTTCGGTGGTGGCAGCGGAGGCGGCAGCAGCCCAACTTCCTCCTCCCTATGCACGGAGCCCCTGATCCCCACCACCCCCATCATCCCCAGCGAGGAAATGGCTAAAATCGCCTGCAGCCTGGAGACCAAGGAGCTCTGGGACAAATTCCACGAGCTGGGCACAGAGATGATCATCACCAAGTCTGGCAGGTAGGGGGGGGGGGCTTGGTGGGCGAGGAGTGGTGGGGGGTGCTCCCTGGGTGGTTTGGGGGGCGTTTCCGGGGAGTTGGGTGAATCCCTGTGGATTCTGAGCCCAGAGAGAGCTGCTTCGCTGGGGAGGGCTTCTTCCCGCAGACTTACTGTGGAAAGTGCTGCTCAGAGAATTCCCAGGCGTTTGCTTTCTCAAGGTCTGGCTGTGGGAAACCTCACCTCTGTCTTGATGATAAGGGCACAGCAACCAGGAATGTCTGCCCCCCACCCTGCAGCCGGGAGGGTTTGGGGTGCAGGCTCCGCACCTGGAGGGAAGGAGGAACCGGAGTCCAGGGAGGGGGTGGGGGGCGGCTGGCTGCTGCAAGGGAGGCAGGGAGCTTCCTTTTTAGGAGCTCAATCTGCAGAAGCCCCTGTCCCCACTAAAGGAGATATAGAGCCTGGGCGGTAGAGAGAGATTTGTAAGGGTGGCACCCTGAAGGAGGGGCGCTGGCTCCCAGGCCTTTGAGTGCTGCTGGGCGGGAAGCCAGGCCCTGGAGCTTGGTGGCCCTGGGCTCCAGCTCTCCGACTCTGGGGAGTATAGCCAAGGTCCTCAAGCCCACACTGCAAAGCCTGCTCCGCTCCCTCTCTGTGGCAGGAGGAGTTTCCTCCCAGCAGTCCAGGGAGGTGCAGGGCTGGGTCGCTCAGGAGACCTAGGGTCAGAGCCCAGTGGGCTTGCTGAAAAGCGAGGCTTTTCTGTAATCACAGACGCTGGGCATCCAAAACGAAACGAAACACAACTTTCCCCAGCCCTGAGACTCTTGTAAAACTATCCAGCACATGGGTCTCCAAATTCACATCTCTGGCTTTTCAGGAAACAGAAAGGGTTTGGGGGCCTCTGAGAGTGGTGGAGGCAGGGGGTGGGGGGAGACGGACAGGGATGGGTGTGAGGTGTGAGTCCCACCCTTCCTTTCCCCTCCCCTCCCTTCCCTCTAACTCAGCGGCTCTTCAGACTGAGCTCAGGCCGGTCCTCTCTGTCTCCCCGTGTCAGGAGGATGTTTCCTACCATCCGGGTGTCCTTTTCCGGCGTGGATCCCGAGGCCAAGTACATAGTCCTGATGGACATCGTCCCGGTGGACAACAAGAGGTACCGCTACGCCTACCACCGCTCCTCCTGGCTGGTGGCTGGCAAGGCCGACCCACCGCTGCCTGCCAGGTTTGTGCCTCCAGACTTTTGCCTGCCCAAATGTGTCTGTGAACCCGCTAGCAGAACGTCCCTGCCCTGGTGGTTTGAGTTTTAAGTCTGTTTTTAAAGCTCTGGGCTTTGGTAGGATTCCCAGACCAGACTCTCAGGGATCGACTATACCAGCTAGTCTCTGTGAAAGGCAGGGCGGGTGCCTCTCCCTCTTAATTCCTGTCCGAGTTGCCTCACAGGGCGGTGGCAAAATTTGTTAGAAATCCGGACCCGTTTCACATGCCTCTCATCATTTCTAGTTGGCTGCTTAGCATGAGTAGGAAGTGGCTGCCCTAAAATCCCGTTTTTAAAAAGTGCATGTTGGTAAAGTGGTTGCTTCTCGTAAACACTTGTTAGCAATGTAGCTGTATCTGCACATAATAAATATCGTTCTGGTAAAATGTGGTGGTTTTTGTCCAGAAAGGGTTCAGAGGTTTTAAGTTGAAAATTTAAGTGGATAAATGTAATTCAACATCAGGTTAGCTTTTTTTTTTAACATGAAAAATAATAATAATAAATATTATTCAATTGGAATATTAGGGATCACACATGTTTATTTTTGTGCTATTCATTGGTAATAACGTTTTCCCAGTAGAACCCGGTTTTAAAAAATCACACAGGTAAACCTTTATTATTGCTGCTTTGCCTTGGGGAGCTGGGCAGGGGAGTTAGACCTCCTGTTCATGTATTTGCTCCTGTGAACAATGAACAGTTCTAGCGCTAGGCTGCGTAGCGATAGTCTTAGTACAAAGACTACCGGCTGACCCGACACGCGGGGTGCTAAAGCCGAGGTGCACAGCTTTCTAGTTGTTTTAGGGTTGATCTTTGGCATTGACTGAAAGTTCCTGTCAGAGCTGAGACTTTATTTGGATGGGAAGATTCAGGAACGTGGAAAGTCCAGCTGGTTCTTTGTATGCGTGTAGTCTGGAGTCTTAGTCAAGGCACAGAACCCAACCCAGACCATTTCCACTCGTGGCTCACACAGAACCTTAGCTCATTTGGCAGCTGTGCCATCACTGAGCCCACAGGGCGCTGGGCTCCCGAGAGGAGAGGGGAGGAGAGGAGAGGGAAGGGGAGAGAAGCCTCTCAGAGCTTCCCATGCCCCCGGAGATCAGGATGGACATCCCCAGCCCTTCCAGGTCAGCACGTTAGAAACACATTAAAGGACTAAAGACATAAAAAAAAAATTGTTACTCATTTTTAAAACAGTTTACAATTGATATTCAAATGAATAGAATTAGTATTCTCCACTATTTACTACTACTAAATAGCGGACTCACATTACTTTTAAAGGAGAGAGATTTTAGCAGATTCCTAACCATTTTTACAGATGAATCTTTTTTTTGTTTTGTTTGTTTTCCTTCAAAATCTTTCCTCTGAGAAGTTAATCACTCTGACTTAGCATTCGCTTTCTTCCTATCTGAAGGGAAGGGGAGCGGGCAGGCCAGCAGGACCTTGGGGCTAGGACATGCGTTGTTTATGTTACGAATCTGCTCTGGCTGGGGAAGGAAAGCATGTGCCAGTACACTATCTGAGCTGAAGCATGTGTAAGCTATCGCTGGAATTTTAAGACCCAGGGACCTGGAGAGCAGAGGGGCTTCCTGTATGTTTTTCCCATTCGTCTTAGTTTAGCTTCTTTGTATTGGAAACATCTAGTGTAGAAATATTCGGGAGGATACAAATAGGATAGGATAGAAATACTAGGCAATTTAAGGAACTGTTCTTTATGGTTTAAAAAAGAAATAGTGCTGTATTTTCTAGCTCCATACGGAAAAGGAGGGGAACTTGGGAGGCTGATCTGTTCTGTACCGATGGTGGAAATTCTTTGTGGTTCTAGTTCTTGGACATGTTTTATTTCAGACTGAACTTCATCCGTCAGTTGTTCCTAATCAGTGCTTGATAATGCCATTTGACCATCATCATGGCAAGGCTTTACAGGCGATCTAAAGTAGTGCTCTATTTTCGCATAGAATGCTTCCTTTTCTTTAGAGTAATTGGTGTTTAGGCGTGTGAAGCTTTATTGATGTGACTACATTTGGTGAATTGATACTTAAAGGGAGAACATTTCAGCAGCTTCTGGGACCTGACATGTTCTCATGTTCTGACATGTCTTTTTGGCAGGGAGGGTGGGTGGTGGGGCTGATGAGTAAAACAACCACATTTTAAAGGTATAGCTTTGGATGGGTGACACATGAAAAGCCGTGATGGTTGTGTCATCAAAGAATTGTTCAATTGATCGGCAGTTTTGAGCACTTCTCCTAAAAAGAGCACTCCAACAAGCAGGCAAGCAAGCAGACACCTAGGGAAAGCCTCCCCGGGTCTTGTCTGGGTCCAGGAAGCATCCTTATTCTGGAGGCTTTCTTTCAGCATGTGCACCATGCATCTTTTCTCCATCTCCTTCCGTGACAGACCATGCACCCATTTCTTGTTCTTCATGAGGAAAGATTTTGTGACCTTTTCCCAGGCCTTCGCCCCAAACGTAATGTTTATGTTTAGTTATATACTCTCCTATAGAAAATCGATCTACAATAACCTGTTACCGCCAGGAAGAAACTTGTGCTGTTGAATTGAGCACATCTCCTTCCCCTCTCATTGGTTCTGTGATCTCTCCCAACTTCAGAAAAGCTTATGCCAAGTGGTTGGGATTGACAGAGAGCTGTGTTTAGTGGGATCCTCAGAGATCGAACAAATGCTGGCCATTTAACTGCGAAAGATGGCTTTGCACGTCGCAGCTGATCAATAGATGATAAATGCTTGATAGATACATTTTTTTTTTTGCTTAGGCTTTTTGCAAATGAATACACTGAATAATTTGAAGCTTTCTCAGCTTGTTTTCACTCTCATCACTTAACAACGTTATGATGTGTGCACTGTTTAAAAAGTTCCCAGGTCCCTGTATTAAAGTTACTCTCTCCTGTATTTATAAAGAATATAAACTTTAAATTCAGTCATCTTCAATTTTAAATGATTGGAGTCTCTAAAATTCTTTTTTTTTTTTTAAATAAATTCTTTGTTTTCATTGATTTTTAGCAATGCTTATCCTGGGAACTTATTATGCAATTAATCTTAATCTTTCTTTTGAAAAATACCTATACCGTTAGATTTCATAATTTATAGAAGTAGCCTAGTAGCCTATTGGATAGATAAGAAAAACGGCTTGCTCCACAGACGATAGAGAATTTATTAAGTGTTACCCCTTTTAGAGCATTGTACATGAAGTAACACATTTAGAGGTTTTAGAGTTCTTTTGGTCTTGCTATATTATTAAACTTGACATTAAACAGGGTAAATAAAATTCACCATGTGTGTTCCTTTAGAATCAGAATATTTTATAACCCACAGAGAGCATGTTTGTTTGTTTTTTAAATGCCTCCATGGAATCTCTCATAATTTTCTCAGGCTGTATGTGCACCCAGACTCCCCTTTCACTGGCGAGCAGCTACTCAAACAGATGGTGTCTTTTGAAAAGGTGAAGCTCACCAACAATGAACTGGATCAGCATGGCCACGTAAGTACAGCACCTGGGACCGGGTGGAATGGAGAAGTCTCACAAAACTTCCTCCCTCTGACCTCCCCCTCGCCCTCTGCCCCTCCCACCTTCTCGCTGTGAACCCTCACTGAGAACCTCCAAGTATTCATCTTGTCAGGAGGCCATTGTTATGCAAGGGGGCCAGCCTTCAGCACTGTGGATTTCCCAAGACATGAGCAACTGCTTTGTGCCATTGCCCATGAAACAAAGAGAGCATGCATGTTGCAGGCTGCTACAGTCCCTTCTTGGGTTAAACATCTGTCAGTGGTATGTCAGATAATGCAGCATAAAAGGAATGGGGCTGAGACCTCCCCCCACCCCTCTTGGGGATTGCCCAAAGTATGTTTCATTGGGCACACTCACCTGAGATACAATAGAACCAGAGGGTTTATGTCCAGATAAGTTTGAAACCTATTCACCTGCTTCAGCTGCTGAGCAGCGCCACCAGCAGAGCTGTGCCCGAACCAGGTTACTCTGACTGGGTCAGGAGAAACAAGGCCCCCTGGGGCAAATGGATGTTGGCAATGCCAGAAGCAATTTATTTGGTTTCAGGTCCAAGCCAACCATTTGAAATGATGTTGAAAGAATTTGGGAAAGGGCTTTTTACTCACTCTATATCCCCTGTATAGAGAGTCTTATGAATATTAAAGAACAGGTAGTCTTGCAGTTAAAAACAAAGCAGTTTGATGATTTGGGGTTAACAAAGGAGTTCATCAAAATGTGGGAAAGAAGAAAGTGGAATGCTGAGCGCTTAGCAATAGTTAATAGAACAAACACCACTGACACAGGCCTCTTCGCATGTCCGATAAGATAAGATTTCTTTTTAAGAAACCATCTGTGATGTGATTCCATGCTCTTAAATAACAAGCATTTCCTATCTGCTGTGTGATTTACCAGGGTTACATCCTCTAATCCCCACCTCACCCTATGGGGTTAATACTGGCTTTGTATTTGAGATGAGGCGTGAAGAGGTGAGATCACTGACACCAAGATTAAAGAGCTAGGAAGTGGCCGATTCACTGTTTTCACCCAGGTCTGTCCAATACCACATCCTCGCTAATGACAATCTGTCCGCCTAGCATATATCATTTCTTACTTTGGAAAATGTAGGCATATATCCTTTGTTCTAACCAGACTAACAAACGAGAAATATTTTAAAGACTTGATTTAAAACAAATGTATCCTCCACATGACTTTTCCCCCACCGTTTTAGAAAAGATCTTTGGAAAGATACTTGACCTGGGTTTTCTGTAGTTGATTTGATGAAACGTGCTTGACAAGGATGACTCTGCAGTATCCTAAGAAAACGACTTGCTTCAGGAATGGAACAGAGCGGATCCTACTCTTAAAAAAACGGAATTTGAAGCTGTAGACTTGATGGTTCTTTGTTTGCCCCAGTGCAGTTTGGGCGGTGGAGCAATGTGAACGCCTGGCACTCAGTGTTCCCCTTGTCTCCGTTGTAGATCATTTTGAACTCGATGCATAAGTACCAGCCCCGGGTGCACATCATCAAGAAGAAGGACCACACGGCCTCGCTGCTCAACCTGAAGTCGGAGGAGTTCCGGACGTTCATCTTCCCAGAGACGGTTTTCACAGCGGTCACTGCCTACCAGAACCAGCTGGTGAGTGCCCGCTCGCATGCACTTCCTGAAGGAGATGAGGGTGTAGGAGGTCCTTCCATGTCCGTGGGGAGGACAAGGATCTCAGTACTTGAATAGAAGGTCTCTTTTGGAGAACGCTATTGGGTATCCACCAGTGCCTCTGCCTGTGTTGAGTGAATCACACTCAAGGTTATGAAGGTCTGTTTTGCACCAGCTTTTCTAGAATCTGTGTACCTGTGGTTAGGTTGTTCACTGCCCACTCTCCGGCCCAAACTGCCCCTCTCTGGCATCTCAAGTTTTCTTCTCGAGAAATTACCTGCTTCCTTTTCCTTTTCCTGATAGAACATCCTAAGGCACATAGCCATACACTCGTTGCCCCATAAAATATAGACTTTTTTTTTTTCTAAATTAGCACCCGTATTCTAGCCGACTGCCCACACTACTGATGCTTTAGACACTTCTGAGGCATATTCAGCTGTAGTTTAGGATGTGATCATTCTAATAGGATGATTTTAAATGTCTCTTTACATAATAAACTGTAGTAGGCAAGCCGTGTGCATTTAATTAACATCAAGATTTTAATTTGTAATATTGAGTTATCTATTGTCTACTCTGTGTTGTACCTCACATTTAAAATGTGTGCATTTTAAAAAAATCCATATGGGTTAGTTCAATTCAGTTAATATTTATTGAAGTCTTAGTAAGAACTGGGTGCTGTTAGACACTTGCCCATATGTTTTCTTCTCTCACGGTGAGCATAACCTTGCCGACTGGGGGTGGTAGAGACATTCTGTAGTGAGGAAGCCAAGGCTGAGGGAAGATGAGTAACTTTCCCAGCTGGGAAGGACCGGCCGGGTTTCCATGTGCTCTTTATGCTACAGGAGGAGGAATCACACCGTCAGGTTACTTGACAGATTGGGTGCTGAGCCCCCTCGCTAGGTCTTTGCATCTTGCTTTCATTTGAGTAGTTATGGGTCATCAGGTCTCTGGCTCTGCTCCTGTTTTGATGTTATATTTTGGGTTCCGAGTGAATGGCTGTTGGAATGGGATGGTCCATCAGAGGAGTCAGGGTGTTGGGTCTCTCTGGGAAAAGCAACAAGAGGAAGCTGAGCCCCAGCTGGTTTGGCTCAGTGGTAAGAGTCCAGATCCGATTCCAGTCCAGGGCAGGTGCCCGTGTTATAGGCTCGATGCCCAGTAGGGGGTGTGTAGGAGGCAGCCGATCAATGATTCTCTCTCATCATTGATATTTCTGTCTCCCTCTCCCCTCCTTTCTGAAATCAATAAAAATATTAAAGAAAAATGAAAAAAGACCAAGCTGAAAGCCTAGATAGCCCTGCTCACATAAGGAAGTGGGAGCCCACAGCAGGGATGTGGGCCGATGGCTGGGAGGAGGTGTCACCGTAAGGTGTGAGCACCGGTAATTCCTATAGAGCTTTGAGGAGCTCTATAGGAATTACTGGTGACCTTTGAGGAGGTTCCGTGTCACCATATGGCTGCCGCTTTCCTTACCTGTGACTGGGGCTAACAACTGCCCAGACCATCTTAGGGAAGTCCCGTGAGCATCCAGTGAGAGACTGTGCATGACCATGCCTGGAAACCGTAAGGCAGTCTGAGTGAGGTGTGTGGTTTTAAGGAAAGTCCAAAGAGGATCTGTCACCATTGGCATTTTAAATGTTAGCGGCATATTTTTTAATGAGATACACGAGTGCACAAATGTTACCACACTAATCATCTTAAGGTGTGAAAGTAAAGTTAAAGGAAGTTCCGCAGGAGCTTAGATTAGGCTTCACAAGTGAAGGAGCAATCTTGAGTAAATGCTCGCAGAACCTCTCAAAAACCAAGGTTCACGGGACTAGGAAGGGATGATTTGCATAATTATAACAGCTAATACTTGGGTACTTGCTGTGTGCAAGGCACCATTGAAAGTGCATTGTTTTATTTAGTCTCCATGATGACTGTAAGTGACTGGAACAACGGTATTTCGGTGTCACCTTCTAGGGAAAACAGAGGCTCGGAGTTCAATAACTCCCCACGGTGGCCTTCCCGCACTCCTCTCTGAATCCACATGTTTAGGTGCAACAGTCACTGGGCTAATCTCTAAGCGTTAGGCACCCGCTGTCCTCTTGGCTTGTGGTTCTGACGGACTCCGGTCTCCGAGACATCCTTTTTAGAGGATTTCGCCTCTTTATGATCATTGTTTTCCGTTTTCAACAAGTGCTCACTGCTTACCTGCCAGGGTAATGAGATGGCAGTGATCGTAAACCAGCGGTCAGAATGGCCACTAGCACTGGCTGCACCTGGTAGCAGCCATATGTTTGTTAGAAAAGGTCAAATATGGAAAAGGTAAACAAATGGTAAAGTGAACTCACATACTCAACCCAGATTCAAAAATTAACATCTGGTCACTTTGTCTCCCCTTCCCCATTCTATCATTGTAAGTATCCGTACTTCCTGTTCACTTAATCTTTTGATACGGAGTTGCACGCATCCTGATACTTTAGCTGTAAATACTCCCACAAGTACATATTGATATGAGAGTATTATTTTTGTAACCGTAATATCTTTATCATAGCTTAAAAAATTAAGAATTATTCCTTAATATCATCCAACACATTGTCAGTGTCAAGGTCTGGAAACTGAGTTTGAAAATGTTGCCCCATGAAAACAGTCAGTTTATTTCTATGTATCTACCTTTACTGATACCCAGCACAGATACCAAGTAGTATATATTTGAAATTCAAGTAAATGGTCAAAGACTTGATTTTCAAGCCAGTTTGAGTAGGTTTATAAACCTCATAAAACCGATCAAAATTCATGTTTAATAAACACACATGGGGTGAATAAATCAATTTGAGGGTTCGTATTTTCTTTAGTCCTGTACAATTTTCTAAAGTTATCCTCAATTCTTTCTAGGCCTCCCACCTCTGCTTTTTCATTATTATGTCATGTGTGTGTACTGGCTTTCCTAAAATGAATATAGGGTGCCCCCCAAATGGATACACACACTTTGAACTTTGAATACTAGTAATTATACAGACAGTGTTTGTTAACATACATTTCATGTTCAAAATTGAGCTTTCAGTGGTTAAAGTGTGTCTATATTTTGGGGACACCCTGTATATAGGAGATACAATAAATATTTACTAAGGATAGTAGAAATATTAGAAGTTTTCAATTGCACACACACCAAAAAAAAAAAAAAAAAAAGAAAAAAAAAAAGAAAAGAAAAAAAAAAAAGAGAAGATGAAAATGTAAAAGTTCTCACTGAGGAGCACCTTCATACCTTTCCACCTTTAGCTAGGACTGTTATTTTTACATCTATTAAAAGCCAAAGCAGAGATTTCCAATTTGCAAAAAAGCATCTCATTTATTATGGCTGGTGGTTTTATTTAGAAGTAATGAAAATGGGACTTTTACAAATTATTATTTTTTCCCCCCCTGGTTTTGGCGAGGAAATGATCACATTTGTCTGCATTATTAGATAAAAGCTAAATACATTATACTTTCAACAAACTCTTTTATAATTTAAGATTTAAAGGTCACACATGGTTCCAGAGCGGCAGACCACGACCGTGGAGGCGAATTGTAGGTCAGGCTTCACTTTTAAATGCCTGGGGACAGGTTCTTCCCTGATCACCGGAGAGAAATGGTCTCTGAGGGCCAGTTTCACCTCGCACCTGGGAACCTCAGCGTATCCAGAGACCCGTGATGTCACGTGGAGGGTCAACCCTGGAAGGTCCACTTCTCTTCAGCACAGCTGGTAGTCAAACTCTGCCCCTCATCATGCTTACAAAGGGGGTGCTGAAGGAGGGAGTGTTTTGTTAGGACATGTATTGTGTTCTGTTACTAAGGTCAGATGTGGAAAAGTGAGTATGTGTTGACCTGAATCAGTTGGTGATTTGCATATACATGCATGCACACTTACCTACAGGATTTCTTCAGCACAGTGTGCTGTCCTTACCCGTTAATGCGTTTTTCTCACACCCAATGTAAGAGATTGCTGCTTTTTACATTTGTTTTCGAATTACAAGCCATACCTGTGGTTTGGCTAATCAAGACTCTACATCCTATGTTCACTGGTTGACTAGTGTTGACACGGATGACACTGTTCAGCGGTGTTACAGGCCTCAGGGGTTCTGTGTTAGGGACAAACACAATGATGTCTAACTGGACCACTGTAACCCAGGTCCCTTCTCTCATCAGTTCTCAAGTGCGTGACTTCTCCAGTTGTCCCAAACTTCATACAGGGATGTAAAGCCACACCTTCATAGATGAATGTTTATGTAGTGACTGGTTTTTATGTACATGTCCATGGAACAAAAACTGTGCCTGATCTTTAACAATGCATGATTACCTAGAACGTTAAGATTCTATCTAAAAATTATTTTATCTTAAGATAGGAAAATCCAGTAAAACGCTGCTGCTGCTGCTGCTGCTGCTGCTGCTTCTTCTTCTTCTTCTTCTTCTTCTTCTTCTTCTTCTTCTTCTTCTTCAACTGAAGAAGATTTCATTTGGTCTCTTAACTGGTAAAAAGATGAAAAATATTTCCGGCTGCTTTCTCTGGAAGCCAAGTTCAGCAAATGCTTCTGGCTGATGATTGCTGACAGCCCAGGAGCCAGGGAGCCGGGGGCTAGCACAGAGAGCACAGTGGCTGGTGAAGAACCGGAACCCACAGTCTCTGTGCTGCTCACAATACCATAAAGCTTGTCCAAGAGGGGAGTGTGAGTCCAGGTCCCCGCAGTTTTAGTATTAAGACCCCCCCTCCCCCAACTTCCAAAAACAGCTGTGTTCTTTCCCTGGAGCTAGATAACCTGGGCCATAGAGGAAGTAAATAGCTGGCTATGTCTCCAGTAACTTTTCCAATCAGTGCACTCGAGGTAAATCACTGCTGTGACCAACAGGGAAGTCGCGGTATGATAACACCCTGTATTTTTCTCTAAGCTTTCTGTTGTTTGAAATTATATCAAATGTGAAGAAAAAAGTTACCACGGATACTCCTAGGGCTCATGAAAGAGGGATTTAAAGACTATTGGAAGTATAACATTCCTATAATGAGAGAAAATCTCAAAGAAATCGGAAAACTGGTTGAAGCTAATCCATTTTCTCATCCAAAGCTAAGGCGGTAAGACATGGTGACAGGCTGTTGAACAACATTCCCTGTTGGGAGTATTTATTCTCCACGACAATGCTACAAGCATCACCCTTACCCTTTGGAAATACAAAGACCAACAAATTCAATGTTCAAAATGCTTTTCAGGGACAAAGCGGTCAAAAGTCTTTCTTTAATTATTATAACAGATAGAGAATACGTCCTGTCCTTTTAGTTAGTCAATACTCAGACATAGCTTAATGTTTCACATTTTAGAGAGATGGTGTAAAAGAACTTCTTTCCAAGTCCTTGGCTTTTCTTTTCTTTTATTATGTATTAGTTTCAAGTGTACACATTATATACTTGACATAGTGTTCCCCTCGATATTTCCAGGCCCCAACTGGCAGCGTATGTAGTTATCCTAATATTATTAACTATATTCCTTATGCCATACTTCCCTGTGACTTTTTTATAACTACCCATTTGTGTTTCTTAGTCACTTCACCTCTTCCACCCAGTTCCCTAACCCCTTTCCCCTTCTGCAACCATCAGTCTGTTCTTTATCTATGGGTCTATTTCCATTTTGTTTGTTTATTTTGTTCTTTAAATTCTATCTGAAAGTGAAATCATATGTTTTAGTATTTAGTTTTTCCAGCAGATATAGTATCTGCCATCAGTCTCCAGGAAATTCTGTTCATTGGTAGATCCACTTACCTTGTGACTTTATCAATGAGCTTGTCAGAAGTCACTGAGCCTAGAGGCAGACTTCATCGCTCTGTCTCACAGTTTCAGTTTGAAGTTCCCCTCTGGGGTTGGCTCACATGGCAGTGGATGCGATGCCACTCTCTTTACTGCATTACTGTGGAAGCAGTGTTTCATGAACCATAAAGAGCTTTAGGAATAAAAAGTACTTTAACACAATTACCCTGTAGAAAGAGACAGCTCCTGTCTTTGAATTTAAAACCTTGGCGGTATTATATCATCTTAGAACATGCTCATTGCTTGGGCTTTAGAAGATGTTTATAAGTTGATTTCAAACAAATAAAAAAAAATGTTCTCCTTCGTCCTGGAAATGGAGCTTCCAAAGGAAACCCTACTCTGAAACGGGCTGGGACTGTCACCCTTCGGGGTCCGCGGCTGAGTGAGAGAAGGGTCTTCCCAGACGCCTTGGTCACACCTGGAGCCGCCGCGGGTCTCCTGTGGGTTTCTCTGTCTACATCCTCCACGTGGCTGCTCTGGCCCACTGGGAACAGGTTTCTCACTTATCTAGCTTATTTCCTCCCTGCTTCCCTTTTCGTGAACTAAGCCGGAAAGGAAATCAGCCAGTTTGTGTGTGTGGCTGCTCTAGAGGGAATGTCATGGGCTGAAGGCATGGTCCAGGGCCGGACAGGGAAGTGCCTTCTGGAGTCAGGAGAAGGTGGGACTCGCTGCTCTAAGTGGGATAAGGAGCTTGTTTTCAGCTTGTACGCCGGTCACCTCACATAAGAAAACAAAAAGGGGAAGAGGTTCACCAATGGACTTCTTTGCATACGTGCATAGCCCGTGGACAGATCAGACTGCGGAGAAGGCCTGGGGCAGAGTGGGAGTGAGGTGGAGGGGGTTAATAGGGGTGGGGGAAGGGGGCATCTATAATACTTTCAGCAATAAAGATACATTAAAAAAATAAGGAAAACGTGGCAGTCAATAAGTACCTAAAATTTTTGAAAAGGAAAAAGAAAAGCCTTCCTCTGGTCATAAGAAAAGCAGTTCTCTGGGTGCCGGTGGCTTGAAGGGAACAATGGATACAAGGGTCTGAGGAAAAGGTGCTTTTTTTTTGGCAAAGGAGCATGTCATACCACTTTGGTGGTGGGAACGCCTTCCTTTGAAGTGGAGGATGTGCCTTCACCCATAGCTCTTCCCCAGGTGGAGACTGTGTGTGTGTCTCTGAAGATTGCCGTGGGTCCTCGTATGATATATACAGATGAGCTTGGACACCCTTAAAGGGCCCTAATTCTTCTTTACACACCGCACAACTGGGTCAGTGCTAGGTTCCTGCCCGCTCTAACCCTCAGCCACAGACCCCAAAGGGTGACAGTTCGAGCCTGTCTTCCAGAGGAGGGTTTCCTTTGGAAACTCCATTTTCAGGACGAAGGAGAACATTTTTATTTGTTTTAAATCAAGCATCTTTTAATCCGTGTTTCCTTTCTTTTGTTCACTTATTTTTTTGCTTCAATCCTAACGTATTATTCTTTGGAGATGCAGTGCTTATGGTTTAATAGATCTTTTCATTTTAATATTAACTCTGTGGGAATTAGGGATAGCACAGCATAGACAACTAATACTTCAGACCATGATTCTTAGTAGCAAATACCCCTCTCCCCCAATGTAAGCATAGAATCTATCAATAACATTGCATGGGTAATTTAGTAAGATGGAGGGGAGGTACTGGCGTACGTTTATATTCTAAAAGCTTTATAGCATCTATTTATGTCATGTATCTCAATATAGAATCAAACACGAAGCTATTATTGGCAATTTAATCTTCTTATCTATTATGGTATATATAATACTAGCATATATGTGCCCCTGGTATTAATAAATGATGTTTCCAAGTCAGCAGGAGGCAGTGTTTTTATTTCTGTTCCCCCATCCCCACCGGTGCTGGCCTTCCCAACAGCTGCCTTCTCCCCAGTGGAGCCCTGAGCTGAGGACGGCTGTCTGAATACTTCACCCTGTTCAGGAGAGGCCCGTCCCTAATAGTCTCCATCCTCTAACCCATAGCCTGTCCCCAAATACCGCCTTCTCCCCAAGGCTTTCCCCGCCATCTCCTCACAGCCATTTCCCCTGTGAACTCTCTAGCAATTTCCACCTTTCTCCGATGCTGACAGACACTGGATGTGCTTATGGGGCCAGGATGGGAAAGGAACAAACCTTTCTCTCTGCTTTTATTCTCTGGACCTCAGAAATGACCTCATTGTGTCACCCCTTCTTCCCCATTCCAGATAACCAAGCTGAAAATAGACAGCAACCCCTTTGCCAAAGGATTTCGGGACTCCTCCAGGCTCACGGACATGGAGAGGTAATGAGAATTTTCTGTTTACTTTCTTTGTCCAGATAAGATAAGGAGAAGAGCCAGTCTGCCCGGGCACACTCCTTTCAACGCCAGAGAGCCATGACCTCCCTGGACCCAAACTCCCCGTCTCTGTCCCCTTCCCCCGGCCAGGAGTCTGTAGATACAGGAGTGCTTAGGCTGTGACAGCTGTGCAGCGGCATCTGCTCGGTGCTCCGCTTCCCCGTGAAGTGGATCCTGTGGTCGGGACATTTACTCGGCTGTACAAATAGGACGTTGTTATCAAAGTCTTGTCCCCTGGATGCCGTTAAGCTCCACTCCTTGAGTGGCATCCTCAGAGAAATGGAATCTCGATACCTCGGAACTGGGTATATATATTTGTGAACACCACAGACACAAGAGTAGTATGGGATTTTGAAAAAAAAAAAAAAGGGAGGTGTCCTTTAATTCAAGGCACACCTTTTACCCAGAGCTTAGACTGCTGCTGTTTCATAGGAGAGATGTCAGGTGTCACCTTTAAGACGACAGGTGACAATCATGTGCCTGGAACCCACCCCACTTTTAACGTAATTCAGATGGTTCACACAGTGAGACCATCTGTGTGATCAGTAATGACGACACTGAGATCCATGGTTTGCTCAGCAGGAATGTCGGAAGAATGTGTTTTCCAGAGAGAAGATATGTTTAACTTGATTGTTTATATATCTTACACATACTATGTAACTTTCTGTACTTATTCTTTGTGTGTGTGTGTGTGTGTGTGTGTGTGTGTGTGTGTGAACACTTGAGTTCTACTCTATTAACAAGTTGCAGTTATGCAACAGTGTCATCAACACTAATGGTCATGTTATACATGAGATGGTCAGACCCTTCTCATCGCCTGTGGTTGCTCTTTTATGTGGCTTGAAGTCTTGATTGACAGGTGGGGTATCCCCTGTTTTATTTTATCTCCAACTCTTGGTGTGATTTTCCCACCAACTGCCACACTTGGCCACACTGTTCATTACCCACTGCGTGGTCACATCTTCTGATCTCAGCACTTCTTCCTAGCCTGTGTTGGCAACTCAGATTAAGGGATAATTCCATGTTTTAGCAACCCCTGTCCAACCCTTCCCTGGGCCTTCCACAAGGCGGATCATAGAGGGCTGGTTTTAATTTGAGGGAGCAGATGTGGAGGCTTTGTGGGGAGGCAATGAAGCCAGGAGGAGAGGCCAAGAGTGGGCAGCGGCCGTGGGATGTGAGTAGGAGAAAAAGATCCATTAGTTGGAGAGTTTGAAGAGTTGCTGGGGTGTGGAGATCGGAGAAAGAAGCTGGAGCTTGTGGCTGAAGATCCATTGCAAAAGCAGGAAAGACAGCGGAGGACCCTCCTGTAGGTTGGGACATAAGTGGGACGAAGGCCTGGAGACCCACCTCAGTGACAGTGTGGTATCAGCAGGGTGGGGAACACGTGAGTCCCTGTACAAGGGCCACTCAGGAGGCATGACCTTTTTAATCTATTTCTGGAGGGCCAGCGGCGCTGGCTCAGATTGGGATTCTGCAGGTGGCATTGCAATCAGGGAACCCTCCTCGGGGTTAGTCTGAGGTCAAGCAAGAAGGAAGACGGTGGCTCAGTGGGGGCGCTAGTGATGTGTTTTCACGGTGTGCTGTGCGCCATGTCTTCTGTCTCAGATCAAGGGTGAACATGGTGAACAGGGAGACAGAGTCCCAGCTCTGCCTCTGACTGGCTGAGGGGTCCTGGAGAAGTCACCTGACCTCTGAGTCTGTGGTTGTCATCTCAAAAACAGAGAAAACCACCCTGCGGCTTCACAGGTTCCTCAGGAGAGCCAAAGAAAGTGGCGTTTATGCAAGCAGCTTAGAAGCGCAGCTTTCTTATTTCCTAGCGGAGCATGGTTTTTGTCCCAGCCAAGCCTTCTTCTCATGGTCTTCTCAAACTCCTCCTGGAGTGAGCACGGCCCTTCGCTGCACACGTGTTCACGAGATGGGTGTGTCCAGACCGCCTGCCCCGTAGACCGACAGACTGGCTGATGCCATGGTGGGCAAACTGCGGCTCGAGAGCCACATGCAACTCTTTGGCCCCTTGAGTGTGGCTCTTCCACAAAATACCACGGCCTGGGCGAGTCTGTTTTGAAGAAGTGGCATGAGAAGAAGTTTACGTGTAAAAAATTTGGCTCTCAAAAGAAATTTCAATCATTGAGCTGTTGATATTGGGCTTTGTTGACGAATGAGTTTGCCGACCACCGGGCTGATGCATGCAGCACGTTTCCCGCTTCCTGAGCCAGCATCTCGGCCTCAGGGCGCTCACATGCACACGGTGAGTCTGGAGACTGTGAGAGCGTCTTGTGTGATTTAGCTGGAAACGTGCAAAGTGACCCAAGCTGTGTGAAACTGGCCAAGGTTTTGGATTTCATTTCCAAGTATTTTAAGTCTGAATGTTCCCTAAACAGCCTTTGGGGATGGGACAAATCAGATCAATTGATCTTTAGAGACCTAAAGGAATTAAATTAGTCTGGAGTCAGTTACTGCACTAAACCACCTGGTAATTGAATTGCTCCCTGTAACTGATTGAAAACAGCCCCATCTGCAACAGCTCAGGGACCTTTTCTTGAGGAGGGATCTGAGAGAAAAATGCCCTTTTTTATGACACGATGACAGAATTGGCACTTTTCTGACCTAATTGAATATGATGGTGTAAGTATGTGACCTTCGTGATTTCCAGTTTCCTGTCCCAGATTTACAGCTGCTGTGGGACACCCCACCAAAAGCGCCTTGAGGGTGCTGGCCGGTTACCTGCAGGCTCATCACTGTGAGCTTCAGTCCTTTTACAACTTTTGGGGTGCCCTAAAACAGCGGCCATCACCTTTGGGATCTCATGGACCATCAGTGGTCCACGGACCCCTGGTTGGCAACTGCTGCTCTAAAGGGCATTAGGTTTTCTTGATCTTATTGGACAAGGTTCAGTTCAGATAGTGGATGTCTCCTTTACTTCACGTGGTGCCTGACTAGTGGGGACACGTGGCGCCTCCTCTGTGAAAGGAAATCCGCCTTGTGCACCAGAGTAGGAAGTATTTTCATTAGATGCTTTGCACATACACCTACAATGGACAGCTAAGAATCAAACTGAACGCCCAAAGAGATTTCTTAAAATAATGTAATTTACAGCTATCTTACTTCAGGGAAAGAAGTAGCTATCTGATGATCCCATAAGTTAAGTAACCTATAGACAGTCTATTGGCATTTTATTTTTTTATTTTTTTGTGGCGGGCGGAGGGGGGGGGAAGGGACACTTCTGTATTAAGAATGAGTTTTTTTGTTTTTTGTTTTGGCAGGTGGGAGAGGACTTGCTTTTGAAAATAGATTTTTTTTCATTAGAAATCTGCCCAGTGTAGTCTGTAAAAAGCTATTGATTCCTATATGTCTTTGGCATCCCGCCATTTTACTGAACTTAAAAATATTAGTTTCAGTAATTTTTCCTTTTAGCCTGTTGAGTTTTCCAGTTAGATTGCTATATCATTTATAAAAATGGTAATTTTATATTTTTCTTTCTAATAATTATACTTTTTAAGATGTCTTTTTGTTTTGTTTTATTGCACTGACTAAAATTTCCAGGACACCATTGAAAAGTAATGATAATAGCATTTTTTTCTTGTTTTTGACTTATTTTAGCGGTTTCTCATAATATATGATTTTCATTGGGCTGTCGGTTTCAGATGGGAATCTTTATATGGAGGTAATGCCCTGCTGTGCCTAAATTAAGAATTTTATGTTATCCTGAATGTTACTTGGAGTTATATTAAATGCTCTTTGAAAATCTAATGAGATAATTTTAATTACTTTTGTACTTTTAAATAGCAGTGTAGTTAATTATCTTCATATTGTCTATGTTGAGCCATTCTTGTATTCCTGGAATAAATCCTGTCTGGGTTGTATCTCTTTTTCTTATAGTGTATTTCTAGCTTTAATCTACTGATTTTATTTAGGACTTTTTATGTCACTCTTTATAACAGATTTGACTTTGTTTCTTCTTGCCTTCTCTGTTAGATTTTGGTGTCTGGTTTCTGCTAATCTGTTTAGATGAGCTGAAATACATTTTCCTTCTTTTTATTGTCTGGACCAGTTTAAATAGCAAAGAGGTGGTCCTTTACCTGAAGATTTTGCAGTCTTACTCATAAATTCATCTGGGCACAGTATTCTTTTGGCGAATACTTCTTTCCTTTTTTAGTTTGTGCCACAGTTTGTCAAAGAGATACTTAACTTCTATCCCACTCGATGCTTTCTGTCTTAATTCTACTTTATCTAAATCTTATGTTGCTATACTTAGAAAATGTTTGCTTTCTTCTACTTGCTTTTTAATTTTTTAAAAAAAAATTCTGTCACCACTTCCTTCTCTGTTGCATCATCCAATGTCCTGATGTTTCTTTCATTAAAGAAAAGCACCTTCCTCTTGATCCCATTTGTCTCTTGAGGTACTGATGCTCCCGGCTATTGCTCCTTCTTATAGTAAAGGTCCTTGAAAAGAGTTGTGTGTGTTTTCTTCTCCAATCCCTCTCTTCCCTTCTCTTCTCCTGTGCCATTTAGACTTCCACCCCCACTGCACCACCAATCCATTCTGGTCCAGGCCACCATGGCCTCCCCAGTGGCCCGTCCTCAGTCCTCATCTTACTTGACCTATCAGCTAGGTCTGACGCAGTTGTCCATTTTCTCCCTCTTTTCTTTTGGCTCCCAAGACTGCCCCGCTCGGCTGGTTTTTATTCTCCCTCATTGGCTGTCTTTCTCTCTCCTTCTTCGTTAGCTCTTCCTCTTGTCCTCCACCTGTTTACAGTGATGTGCACCAGGCCTCCATCCTTGGACCTCTTCTCTTCCCAGTCTGCTGCTCCTCGTGGTGATTTGACCCAGTTTCATGCCTTTAAATACCATTATAGGTGACTACTATTAAATTTGCATTTCCGGTTCTGGCCTCACTGGAGGTATAGATCTGGATGGCTGTTTCTTTTACTTTTCCCTCTCCCCAT